TGATTTTGTTAATTTTAAAAATGCAAGCTACTTAATATGAGCTTATACAAGTAGGTAAAAAGGCACTATTTAAGTATATAACTTGTATTATTACTTAAAAGTCAATATAATTAAATCTTCAGCAAATCAGTGCTTTTCCGTACAAATGTATATATGTAGTAGCCCTGTACTTATCATGTGAAGATGTGTTGATGCAAATTGGCCAACTTCAAGTTCCATATTATAATAGCTGCATTATAATATGGAAAATTATTGGGCATGCACAGTAATTTGTGTACCTAAATGCCTTTTTCCCCTGCCTGTATGGATTTGTTTATTATATGAAATGCACACTGAGTGAGAAGTTAAAATCTGATTTTTTTTCTGACAGAATTTACATTTGGAAACTCAGGACATCACAGTGCATAGGTAGCATGGTATGTTATGTTACCATATATATTTGTAGCAAAGTCAGTAAGGCTGAAGATATCCAGTATCTTTTTACTGGGTGAGAACCGGATTAAATAAACATAGCAAAATGTATGGGTTGATCAGTTCATGTCAATGAGCAATAACAAATTGGATCTGTGATGGAAATATACACTTTCCCAAATGTATACATTTAAAACCATGCTGACATGGATTTCACAATAATGTCAAATGTAATTAAAAAACTGACAGATTGTCTTGGACTCATGACCTATTAGAATTTGGTTAATGGCTTATTTGAAAACCATCAGGTTTTGGGGGTCAGCAAAAAAATCTCTACATTTCATTGTTATTAGAACATTGAATACAATGTTTCACAGTGTACTAAATCCGAGCAGGTGTTCTAAGTCGGGGTTCTAAGGCAGCGTGAGGCTATGTCTCCCATGTATTGACACTTTGAGATATAGTTAGTCTGGCATAGATGCAAGTTTATACTTTTCTTGTCTGCTCTATAATCGCATAGATCAAGCTCTTTTTTTTATTGATAGTTGAGTACATGATTGTTTCCAAAGTTTTTAAACTAGGTATATCATAGAAACGACTAAAATGTGTAATGTCATACTCAGCAAGCAAGCATGGAAGATTAGTTAAATTGTAGGCATTGTCCAAGTCCTCCTTTATATCACACCAATATTTGACAGTAGAAGTGGTGATACAGCTGTAGTCTGACACATTACTATGAGGCTCTGTATTAGAAAATTACTTTACCAAAGTTCAGGCATGTACTAACTAAGCACTATTCCACACCCAGAGGGGAAGCTGACAATTAAGATTAACTTGGGAAAATGGGATATATGTTTATCTTGGAAAATACATTAATACATTAAAATAAAAAGTGGAGGGCATATGGAGTTCACAAACTGTCTTAATTGTTAATTTCTACTAAGTATTTAGTATGAACTTGTTTGGGTGAACTTAGATTCACATTGATTAAAACTCTGAGACAGTGTTCCAAGAAGTTATAGTGGAAGGGCATTAGCTGCTTCTTCCACTTGTAATAATGCAAAATAAAAATGCTTTGTCTGTTTTCAAAAATATCATAAGGAGTCACTTCTGTTTTAACGACAAACACATATTGATTTAAATCAAACATACAGAGAGACCTGTTAACTTTGTAGAAGATAATATAATAAGGAATATCAGTTTAACCCCTTAAGGACGGAGCCAAATATACACGTTGTGAATGAAACAAAATGTAAACAAAACCTGGCATTTGCGCTACATGTCTGTCCAACCGTAATTCACCTCTTTTATATTAAAGGACCACTCTAGGCACCCAGACCACTTCTGCTTAATGAAGTGGTCTGGGTGCCAGGTCCTTCTAGGGTTAACCCATTTTTTTTATAAACATAGCAGTTTCAGAGAAACTGCTATGTTTATGAATGGGTTAAGCCTTTCCCCTAATCCTCTAGTGGCTGTCTCATTGACAGCCACTAGAGGCGCTTGCGTGCTTCTCACTGTGATTTTCACAGTGAGAGCACGCAAGCGTCCATAGGAAAGCATTGTAAATGCTTTCCTATGCGACGGGCTGAATGCGCGCGCAGCTCTTGCCGCGCGTGCGCATTCAGCCCAGGAGGAGGAGAGAAGGAGGAGAGCTCCCCGCCCAGCGCTGGAAAAAGGTAAGTTTTTAACCCTTTCCCCCTTCCAGAGCCGGGCGGGAGGGGGTCCCTGAGGGTGGGGGCACCCTCAGGGCTCTATAGTGCCAGGAAAACGAGTATGTTTTCCTGGCACTATAGTGGTCCTTTAAATGTACCCACCCTTATTATATATCATTTTATTCAGGGGAAACAGGGCTTTCATTTAATATCAAATATTTAGCTATGAAACATAATTTAATATGAAAAAAATGGGAGAAAATAAGATTTTTTTAGTTCTACATGACATTTTAACGGTCAATGTCATAATACTATTTGCTTTTACTGCAATACAATACACATATTTGTATTCAGCAAAGTCTCATGTGTAAAACAGTACCCCCTATGTACAGGTTTTATGGCGTTTTGAGAAGTTACAGGGTCAAATATAGCACGTTACATTTGAAATTGAAATTCGTCAGAATGGTTACGTTGCCTTTGGGACTTTATAGTAGCCCAGGAATGAAATTTACACCCACAATGGCATACCATTTGCAATAGTAGACAACCCAAGGCCAAAGCTAGCGTTAGTATTTGTTTGTGTGAAAAATGCAAAAAACACAAATTTTGGCCAGTGTTTGTGACTAAGTGGCTACTAAAAAAGACTGGACATACCCCGTTTGCAATACCTTGGGTTGTCTACTATTGCAAATGGTATGCCATCATAGGGGTAATTTTCATTCTTGGGCTACCATAGGGTCTCAAAGGCAACGTAACCAATCTGGCGAATTTTAATGTGAAAAAATGAAACGCAAGCCTTATATTTGACACTGTAACTTTTGAAAACACCATCAAACCTGTACATGAGGGGTACTGTTGTACTCGGGAGACTTCGCTGAACACAAATATTTGTGTTTCAAAACAGTAAAAAGTATCACAGCAATAATATTGTCCGTGTAATGCTGTTTGTGCGTGAAAAATGCAAAAAACTTCACTTTTACTGGCGATATCATCGTTGTAATAAATTTTACTGTTTTGAAACACTAATATTTGTGTTCAGCGAAGTCTCCCGAGTAGAACAGTACCCCCCATGTACAGGTTTTATGGTGTCTTGGAAAGTTATAGGGTTAAATATAGTGCTAGTAAATTAAATTCCCTTTACTTTCGGCATGGGTTGTCAGGCAGGTCCCGCTAATTGTAATTAATTAAGATACCCAATTATGTAAAAATATTACATAAATATATATGTAGAATTAATATATGTATATATATACGTATGTGAATATATATGTTTATATATATATCATTTAAAAAAAATATTTTTATTTATATATAGGTATATATATAGTGATATATACGTATATATTTATGTATATAGATATATATATTATTTTGTTCTATGTGTATTTTGATATAAATATATATATTAATATCACAATACAGTTAGAACGCAATAACACAATCTATATATTTTTTTATTATTTTTTTATTTTATTTTTTAACGTATTTACATGTTTAATTTTTTTATATTATATATAAATATATATATATAACAATAATTATATATATATTTAATCAGTATCAGTCTATGTGTAATTTGATATTAATATATATATATAATTATATACATATTAATAGTAAAATACACCTAGACAGTGTACGTGTGTGTATGTATATGTGTGTATATATACTTAGAGCATATATATATATATATATATATATATATATATGCTCTAAGTATATATTATTATTTTTTTTACACTATTTAATTTATTTAAATTTTATTTCTAGCCAGCAGGGGGACCACCTGTCATTACAGGCAGCCCCCCTGCTGGCAATGCTGCAGCCAGCTATCCCGGCCATGTGATTGTGAGGTCCTCGCAAGGACCTCACTTTCACATGGCCGGGGGTCTTCCAGGGGGTCGGACGTGCCGTGGGGTGCTCCCTGGGAGTCCCCCCAACCGCGATCGCCGGCGTGGGGTCGCCGGCGACCGGGTAAGTAAGAAAAGTCCGGAGGGCGTACTATTACGCCCGGCGGCATTTAGAGCCACTTAGAATAGGGCGTAATAGTACGCCCTCCGGTCTTAAGGGGTTAAAGAAGCAAGAAACATCTAAAATTACTTTAGGTTGTTTAATTGAAATAAGGATAAACTAGATTGCAGAGTTGATTGTGTGGCTTTAATTGTGATATTTGCAGCAGTTTAACACCACTAGGATATTTTTTTTCTGGGCCACTGCATATGTGTTTACAAAAATAATAAAAAAAAAAAAAAACAGAAAGAAACAAGGTAAATACAAATACAAAAAGAGAAGTCCTGCGCTCACTCCCATCACTACTGGGCCGGCAGCAATGACTACAGTACACATTAGCCCCAATATATAGTAAAAACCAAAGAAAAGAAAAAGTTACCTGCGCTCTCTCCTTAATCCCTATGTATATTTAGACAAATGGAGGTCATTTAGTTGCTCCAATGGCCATTGGAGGGAATGCCCGCCTACCAACGTCAAGGCAGACCCCCCTAAAGCGGGTCCTAACACTGCAAGGAAGGACAAATATTGAATTGGCATCAGGGTCATGGGCGCCCAGAGCTTATTGATACATGTGGGGAACAAAGACTAGCTCTTCTGGTCTGATCACATGGAAAAGCTGCTCTAGCTCAAATTACTGAAAAACTTACTGCTGGCCATGATAGAAATGTGTCAGAAAACAAAGTGCATCAATGTTTTCTGCGTATTGCAATGCATAACAGCAGGTTGGTCATTGTGCCCATGATGACCCCTGTCCTCTGCCAAAAGCAGCTTCAATGGAGACGTGAGGGCTAGAACTGGATCATGGAGCAATGGAAGAAGGTTTTCTGATCTGATGAATCTTGTTTTCTTTTAGATCAGGTAGATGGCTGGGGGTGTATGCATCATTTACCTGGAGAAAGATGGCAGCAGGATGCACTATGGGAAGAAGGAAGGCCGGCAAAGGCAATGTTATGCTCTGCACAATGTTCTGCTGAGAAATCTTGGATCCTGGCATTCATGTGGTTTTACTTTGACACGTACCACCTACTTAGAGATTGTTGTGGACTATTTGCACCCCTTTATGGCAATGGTGTTCCTTGATAGCAGTGGCCTTTTGTAGCGGGGTAATGCACCATGCCACACTGCAAAAATGTTCACGAATGGTTTGAGGTACATGATGCCTTGGACTCTACATTCCCTATATTTTAATCTGAACAAGCATCTGTGTGATATACTGGAACAACAAATTTGATCTATGAAGGCGCCACCTCGCAACTTGCAGTACTTAAAGAATCTGCTGCTAATGTCTTGTACCAGATTCCACAGGACACATTCAGAGGTTTTGTGGAGTCCATGCCTCAACACATCATTGCTGTTTTGACAGCACAGAGGGGGCCTGCATGATATTAGGAAGGTGGTTTTAATGTGGCTGATTAGTAGCCAGCAGTAGCTGACATATTTCATAGTGGTAGTAGCAACTTTTGATTGAACACTAAAGTTGTCCTAGAAGGAGCACTGCTAAAGTTCAGTAAAGTAAGGGCTAGAGACTCAAAGGGCTAAAGTGCTAGAGTTAGACAAAAAAAACTTGAGCTCTATACAGGTACATTGTACTTGTGACCTTGGTTTTGTGGGATAGTTATATGTGTCTCCTTTTTGTGTCCTGTTCTATGCATTGTATATCTGTATATTACACAGCCCTACATGTTGTATGGATATATCTGCAGTCTATCCAGCTATGTATATTTTATAGGTATCTTTGGGTTGTGCCCAGCTCTGTGTATACATGTCATGATTCACATAGGGGCTGATGGAGCTACAGCTACAGTCCCATGCCCATATAATAGGCCCATTGATTTAAAAAAAAAAAATGTACTCTACTCTTCACATGCTCTTGCTTATGTATAGAAACTTAAGAGTGATGTAGGGGAACACATTTGTGTGGACTGACTAACAATGAAATTAATTTAGATAAAGATGACTTTGCTCACTATGCAAAGGCTCTTTCTGCTTCGGTCTCTCTAACACTGTGGCATGTTCCCTATCTTCTACACTCACTACATACACCTTTTCTCTGTCCCAGACTGTATTACAGGTGCTTCTGCCTATTATTAAGGAGGTAAGGAGAGGAGTGGACAAGTGAGTATGGGACAGTCCTTATAAAGCTTGGGGTGCTGTCTGCATAGTATGTCCTTAGTTAGCCAGTCCGCATGATATGGCGGGCAGCCTGACATGCATTCACACCAGGTTGGCCTTCTAATTCTTTGGGCAGACACGTCCCCTTTTTGGGCATATTCGTACCTGTGGGTGGTGCCATTTATGTGATTTGCATCAGTGTCCCAGCCCTTTACCTCGCCCACCCACATCCTGCTTCACCGGACACTGCTTGAATGATGAAAGCGAGAGATTAACATAGGGGTTTGTGTTTTCTGATAGCTATATCCTGTGGGTTTCCCTCCAGCACCATCTCCACCAGATACAAGACGCTTGGGAGGTGTGACTGTTTTAGTGTTTTCTGTCAATAAAGTTCTGTAATTAGGCCCATCATAATTGTCAGCACTAAGCCCAATGGGCTCTTAATCTCTCCCTGTGTGTATAGTATTGGTGTCTCTGTATTAAGCTGAGCTCCATGTATTGCATTGATATATACTTATAGTACTGGGTTCTTTGTATTGTATGGGTATCTCTGTGTTATATCTGACATTGTGTATTATATGGGTATGTCTATATTGTACTCACTTATACATATTAGATAATTAGTCCTAATTATGAGTCTTGGCTTTTGAGATATCTCTATATCACACATAGCTCTGATTATTTTACAGGTAACTTTATTGCATGCAGCTCTGTGTATTGTGTGGGGACTACAATTAAAGGTTGTGTACATGAGGTTAACGGACATATGCCACAGGTCAGAAGATAGTCTCTGCAGTGTTAAGGGGGGAGGTCAAGTTCTGGTGGAGCGACTACTGGTAGAAACATGTCCTGGATATTATAATGGTATTGGCCTTTTTGTATCCGAGCTACCCCCAGTTGTTGGAATGCTGTCTCAGCTGAAATACCTTCTTTTTAGAAAACAAAATCTGCTTAGGCTTCTATTGTGCAGGTAGTTGGTGGATGAGTTTCCCACTGTTCCATGTTTTGTGTTTATTGAATATTCATAGAATAACATGTGTTCTCTTTTGTTATATAATACCAATGAACAATAAAGCATTGAAAATCAGACCATGCAACTAAGAAACTCATATGAAAACAAAATAATGTCTGGCAGTGGCAGGCTGGCAACATACACTTTACCATGACTGTGTGGGGATGATCATAGACCCAAATATACTATTTGACTAAAAACACTTATATGTATTCTCTCTTGGACCTTAAAATAAAACACATATTGTCCCATGTCTTCAGTCCAGAAATGGACACCATTGTTTGTACCGTCTGTTATGTAGAATACTTTAAGAAGTCTCTGATAATGTATGCCTTGCTCTTTAGACACAACGGACTGATTAGAGCTGTTCTGGCTATTTCTACCTAAATTGAAGCAGATATTACTTCTAGCTGAGGCCAACAAGGGTAAACATCTAGTCACACTATGATTTACTTATCATTTATTATTTAATTCCATGTTCCAATGGAAGAGTGTATATGTTATTCCACATAACACTGGTCAAAATACAGATAAGTGGCTCGTTGTCATGAGGAGTGGAATTCTGTGCTATATAAATGGATACCTTCACTGTTTTTTGTCACTATAGTTCACCAATACACTGTGCTAGTAATGATTGAAGATGCCCTGACAAGCACGAACCACTGGCAGGACTAGCAGAGCGCCAGATGTTAAAGTTTAAAACATCTCTGACTTGGCCGCAGTAGCCATCAAAGGGAACCACCTAAATCCCATGTCTGCTATATGTTGAGAATGATGAACTAAACATCCATTTACAGATAGTGCCAGCAATTGTACACTCCACTGATCAGAGCCAAAGGATAAGGGCCTTTATGATGATAATCTCATGAGAAACCAGCAATAAGCATTGTGTTTCTTATTGTCTTCTTAAGAGCACTTTATAGATCCTGGAAATGAAGGTTTTGCAGGTGCACGTATCATCTGCTCAAGATCAGACTCTTCCGAGCTGACAGTGGTTTCACCATGATCACAGCTCACAGATACTAACTCTTCATGTGCCTGACACATTCTAGCAGTTTTCAAATGATCCTTCTTTCTCACCAAACAGTTTTATTCTATTTAAATGGTGATGATAGATTTACTGTCAAGGAAAAGAAAAGGTCTCCATTTTCATTCAGTGTGTCATACTAAAGCTTTGCAGTATTTAAATGATACTCACATCTGCTAGAAAAACCACAATTGGCAATTTTTTCAGCATTACCCAAGTGTCAGTTTTTTTACCCATTGCATGCCTTATGGGTTTTCATAGTATGTTACTGTGTATTGTAGATCTATGCTTGGTTTGCAAGGACTGAAAACTAAATATACTGGAACATTTGCATCTTTTTAACTATTTTTCATTTATCTGTGATACTTTTTTTTAATCAAAAACTTATCTTCAAGACCACTCACATACTGTGAAATAATGTTTAATTTCATACTTTTTGGAGTTTAACACTTAGAGATGCACATTTAAAATTTAACATCCCCATGACTGTCATTTCTAAGTATTATGAATGTACTGACTCCATTTATCAGCATTGAGGGTCCTGCTCATAATACATTGTAAAGCACATCTACTTAACAGCAATGTCCTCTAAGCTTTAATGGCATTGTTGGCAATGCCATTTGGCAATGGGGTGTACAAAACTAGCTCAAACAAGCCTTGCCTACCCAAATAGACCATAACGTGCACATGAACTCCCAATATTACAATGAAAATGATGGTCAACCAAATATTGGGTGACATGAGAATAAAAGAGGAGTGCTGTTATTATTATTATTATTATTATTATTATTATTATTATGTTATGATTTATATAGCGCCAGCAAATTCTGTAGCGCTGTCTAATGGGGTTCTGGGTCGTACTCGTTTCCTCTTAATAGTAATACGTGTATGTTGCAGAATAACAATTGATACATGCCACATGATTTTGGAAATTATTTATATATTAGAGTAAAACAGACTCTTCATTTACTGTTGCAATGCTATATTTTGGATTTGTATGGATGAATCGATAGGACTCTAAATTTTGTCGACGCATTAAAGCCCACCTAAATTCTTTTTTTTTTTTTTTTTTTATTATTATTTTTGTAGTGGATTGCAGTGGTAACAGAATATCAGAGACCTTGCAGGACAATACATTATAAAATATCAGAATGCGAACCTTATGCATGACTGAATTACTGCACTACTTAAAGTATTAATAGTAGATAACAGAAAGCATTGTAGATAGGAGTCATAGAGCAAAATAAAAAGGGATTTAACCCATGCTAGCTAGGATATCATCATAGGTTAAGAAGGAGTGGGATGCTTGAATATAACAAGAAATTGAAAAATTGTGCCAATATACTGTGGCTGCAGACTTGTGGCCTTAGTGAAATATGATTTTATAAACAATGGCTGTGCCTTAAGTACTATGGAGACAGGCCTACATTTTGAGTCCCAATCAGCCCATGCCTACCCTAGGCCAAACATAGCTCCTTGGTAGATCCTGTAGCCAATGAGCTTGCGGCCCAAACCGAGATGTGCCTATGGAGCGATCATGGTACCTCCAGGATAAAAAGATAATTCACTGTAGCGCCATTCATGTGCTAGGCACATCTCTCTGGGATTGTGCACGGCAGTCCCCGGATTTTTGGACAGTCATCAGGCAGAAATGTGGAGATCGCTGCAGGTTTCTGAATGGCTTGGAGACAGAGGACTTCCCTGTTAGAGTGATGTTCCCTCCAAGGGAGCGCATCAAACACCTCGAAGGTGCATAAACCTTTGACCCTGCATAAGCTCGCTTCTCAAGGAACCTGGAAGGGGTCTCCAGTGCCCAAAGTGCAGGCAGGGTGGAAGTCAGCTTGTTGGTCATCAGAGGATGTTGTCTCCTTTGGAGCTTGGACCAAAGTTAGCAAACAATTGGTCTAGTTTGGCCAAAGTGGAAGAAACCTGATGCCACTCCTGCAGCCTGTTTGCCAGGGTATTCAACCCAATGACACAAGAGGTAAGTGCCGGGATAACCGTCACCATCAGGGGGAAAGGGGAA